GGGAGGCGGGGGGCCGGCGGAGCGAAGGCCGCTCCCCGCCAGTCTCTTCCCCGGTGACGGTTTCCCCTTTCGCCCAGTAGCTCTTCTACTCCTTCTTCAAGTCCCTTGTGGGCAAGGATGTGGTCGTGGAACTCAAGAATGACCTGAGGTAGGTTCCTATTTCAGCAAGTCTGTAGGGGGTGGATGTGCCCAGAGCCCTGAGACCTATTTGTTTATTTATAAATATATTTTTATTGATTTCAGAGAGGAAGGGAGAGGGAGAGATAGGAACATAAATGACAAGAGAGAATCATTGATCGGCTGCCTCCTGCACGCCCCCCACTGGCGATGGAGCCTGCAACCCGGGCCTGTGCCCTGACCGGGAATCGAACCATGACCTCCTGGTTCATAGGTCAGTGCTCAACCACTGAGCCCCACCGGCTGGCCCTGAAACCTCTTTTAATTGAACAAGTGTTATTTGAGGGCTGGGTAAGGTGGGAGAGATAAAGAAATAAATGTCTTGTGCCTTAAGCCAACAGATTAGCTGTGGAGTTGTTTCTTGTATTTGAAAAAAAAAAAAAAATACAGCCGAAACCGGTTTGGCTCAGTGGGTAGAGCGTCGGCCTACGGACTGAAAGGTCCCAGGTTCGATTCCGGTCGGGGGCATGTGCCTGGGTTGCGGGCACATCCCCAGTGGGGGATGTGCAGGAGGCAGCTGATCGATGTTTCTCTCTCATCGATGTTTCTAACTCTCTATCTCTCTCCCTTCCTCTCTGTAGAAGGATCAATAAAATATATTTTAAAAAAATACAAAGAAATACGTATCCTATATATAAAGAGTTAGAACAGAGGTCAGGGAGTGAAGGCATCACCATTTTTCCTGATTAAATTATATACTCCTTTGACCCAACTTCTAGAAATGTAAGAGTCAGTTCCATAAGCATAGATGTAGGTACAAAGACATTTGTAAGTTTTCTTTGCAGTAACCAAAAATGGAAAACAAACAGCTATCAATAGGGACTGGGTTAAACTGTGGGCTTCCATGTTCCACAGCGGTCACACCGGAATGACGTGTTGATGTGGAAGGTTGTTGCAAGATAGTGTACGTGGCATAATCTCCCCTTTGCTAAAGAAAATGTAAAGGGTAAACAGGAGACCAGTGCCTTCTATCTGTATTGCTTTTCCAGCCCTTACTCCTTATATCGTAACTCCTAATCATCCTTCAGAATTTGGGATTCAGTGCTGTATCCTTGGACTTTTCCTGGTCTTTCTAGCCAAGTAGGTCCTTCTACCAGAGTCTAATTTTCTTCGTAGTGGGTGCTTCTCAAATTGTGATTTCAGAAAAATACGTTTACTGTTTATGGCCTGTCCTTCAGACAGGGCCCAGGACCCCGTTTAAGCTCACCATTGAGCCCGGTATATAGTAGGAGTAATAAATGTGTGCGAAAGTAAAGCAGCTAACATTTGAGAACCTCCTATTGAGTAGGCCAGGGGTGGGCAAACTTTTTGACTCGAGGGCCACAATGGGTTGTTTTGTTTTTTTTTAATATATTTTATTGATTTTTTACAGAGAGGAAGGGAGAGGGACAGAGAGTCAGAAACATCGCTGAGAGAGAAACATCGATCAGCTGCCCTCTGCACACCCCGCACTGGGGATGTGCATGCAACCAAGGCACATGCCCTTGACCAGAATCTAACCTGGGACCTTTCAGTCCGCAGGCCGACGCTCTATCCACTGAGCCAAACCGGTATGGCCACAATGGGTTCTTAAACTGGACCGGAGGGCCGGAACAAAAGCATGGATGGAGTGTTTGTGTGAACTAATATAAATTCAAAGTAAACATCATTACATAAAAGGGTATGGTCTTTTTTTTTTAGTTTTATTCATTTCAAACGGGCCGGATCCGGCCCGCAGGCCGTAGTTTGCCCACGACTAGGCACTCTTCTGCATACACTTAACTCATTGCATTCTCATAACACCCCTGTGACATATACCGCTGTTGCTGCTTTACATGTAAGGAAATGAAAGCTTGGATAGGTTAAGAAACTTGCTCAAGTCTATGCAATTAGTAAATGACAGCCAGAATGGAAATCAATTCTGTCTGGATTATCTTATTATTATTTTTTTATTAGTGCAAGAGAAAGGGGGAGAGAAACATCAATTTGTTGTTCCACTTATGTATGCATTCATTGGTTGATTCTTGTGTGTGCCCTGTTGGGGGATCAAACCTGAAACCTTGACGTATCAGGACGGTGCTCTACCAACTGAGCTGTCCAGCCAGGGCTTTTTAAAATAGTTATAAACAGGATCATATTCTCTATGCAGTTTTGAAACTTGCTTTTCACTTAGCAGATGTGGATATTTCTCATCAGTAAAGGTGATCTTTAACTTTCTTAATGTCTGCATGGCATCTTTGTTAACCAAGACCTTGCTGATGGATAGTTAGGCGGTTTCCAATTCTTTAAAAAAATATTTTTAAAATAGGTTTTTATTTTCTAGCCAGTTTGGCTCAGTGGATAGAGCGTTGACCCATGGACTGAAGGGCCCCCAGGCTCGATTCTGGTCAAGGGCATGTACCTTGGTTGCGGGCTCAATTCCCAGCCCTGGTTGGGGCACGTGAGGGAGGTAACCTATCGATGTGTCTCTCTCACATTGATGTTTCTCTCTCTGTCTTTCCCCTTCCCTTCCACCTTCTCTAAAAGTCAATGGAGCCAAAACCGGTTTGGCTCAGTGGATAGAGCATCGGCCTGCGGACTGAAGGGTCCCAGGTTCGATTCCGGTCAAGGGCATGTACTTGGGTTGCGGGCACATCCCCAGTGGGAGATGTGCAGGAGGCAGCTGATCGATGTTTCTCTCTCATCGATGTTTCTAACTATCTCTCTCCCTTCATCTCTGTAAAAAATCAATGAAATATATTTTTAAAAAAAGTTTAAAAAAAAAATAAATAAAAGTCAATGGAAAAATTTCCTCGGGTGAGGATAAAAAGCGTTTGTATTGATTTTAGAGAGAGAGGAAGGGAGAGGGATGGAGATAAAACATCGATGAAAGAGAAACATCAATATTGATAGGCTGCCTCTGCACAGCCCCCCCATCTGAGACCGAAACCTGGGCATGTGCTCTGACCAGGAATTGAACCGGTGACCTCTTGGTCCACAGATTGACACTCATCCACTGAGCCACACTAGCTGGGCGGTTTCCAATTCTTTAGGGAAAAAAATCCTTTAAATGAGACATACATTTAAAATAGTGATACGGGCACAGGCAGTTTGACTCAGTTGATTGGAGCGTTATCCTCTATGCCAGTGGTCTGCAAACCGCGGCTCGCGAGCCACATGCGGCTCTTTGCCCCCTTGAGTGTGGCTCTTCCACAAAATACCACGTGCGGGCACGCACGTACAGTGCGATTGAAACTTCGTGGCCCATGCGCAGAAGTCGGTTTTTGGCCTGGGCGAGTCTATTTTGAAGAAGTGGGTTAGAAGTGGGGGGTGTCAGTCGGTCGGGCGACGGGAGACACGGGGGCCGCGGGATATGCAGCATGGGGGAGGTACATTGTTTTGAGGTATGTTCACTGAGGTCAACCCCTTCCAACTCTCCCATCCACACTCGTCTTATCTGAAACAAGTATACAAGACAAGTGTGGATGGGAGAGTTGGAAGGGGTTGACCTCAGGGAACGTACCTCAATCAGATTTGAGGACGTTTTTAGCAAAGGCCAGTTTAGGAGTACCCTAATTAAGTTAATAACAATGTACCTACCTATATAGTTTAAGTTTAAAAAATTTGGCTCTCAAAAGAAATTTCAATCGTTGTACAGTTGATATTTGGCTCTGTTGACTAATGAGTTTGATGTTTCTCTTACTCTCTCCTCCCTTCCTCTCTAAAAATTAATAAAACCAGCCCTGGCCATTGTTGCTAGGTGGTTAGAGTGTCGACTTATGAACCAGGAGGTCACGGTTCAATTCCCAGTCAGGGCACATGTTCGGATTGTGGGGCTTGATCCCCAGTTGGGGGGGGATGGGGCATGCAACTGTGGATGATTCTCATCATTGATGTTTCCCTTTCCCTTTCTGAAATCTATGAAAATATATTAAAAAAAAAAAAAACCAATGGAGAAAATATTCTCAGGTGAAGATAAAAAAATAAATCAATAAAAACATATCCTTAGGTAAAGATTTTAAAAACAATAATTAAAAAAGTGATACCTATTACCTGATTGTCCTTTAGAAAGTTTAAATCAATGTATTCTCTCCCAGCAGTGTCTTCCACATTTCTATGAGATAATTGCTTAATGGGAGAAACATTGACATGGCAGAGAGTGGTGAGGAGAGGGACTTCTACATCAGAGATTTCATTTATGATATGGGCAATGCATATGGTACTGATGGCATTGAGATGAGGGCTGTATAGAGAGACAGTGTGGGAGCCCATACCAACCCTAGGCAATTCTGTGAGATGACTTGTTTTTATTTTCTTCTTTTCTCCTCCCTGGGTCTTACACATGACAAAAAACTTACGTTCTAGCTCCAGGTCCTAAAGCAAGGACTGTAAGATTTGAAGGAATTCCATTGGATTGGGAGAAGAGCTTTCTCTCAGGCTTGTTATCAGACCACTTTTGTGCCAGATGTCTCGCTCTCAATGAACTGAATGAATAATACCACCTTATACAATTCCTGGAAGTTACTCCACCGCTGCACATGGTGGTAAAGTGCTATCAAAGGCTGTTCAACAGCCAGGGATGTGGCAAAAGCACCACCGAGGCAGCAGGCCTCAGACATTGGATTTCAAAGACTTAGAATTTTACAAAAATAGGGTCCAGCAGAGAACTGCCAACTTTATTTTTGGCAAGATAAGGACATTTTTAAAAACTGCCATTTATTAGAATAATTTCATTTTAAAAATTTAATACCAAAAAAATAGTAAGGACAATCAAAGAACAGCTATTTTTTAGTCCTGGCCAGGTAACTCAGTTGGTTAGAGCTTCATCCCCATATATGAGGTTGCAAGTTCGATCCATGGTCAGGACACATACGAGAATTAACCAATGAATGCATAAATAAGTTGATTTAAAAAAAAAAAATTGGCCCTGACCGGTTTGGCTCAGTGGATAGAGCGTCAGCCTGTGGACTGAGGGGTCCCAGGTTCGATTCCAGTCAAGGGCATGTACCTTGGTTGCGGGCGCATCACCAGTTGCGAGTGTGCGGGAGGCAGCTGATTGATGTTTCTCTCTCATTGATGTTTCTGGCTCTCTATCCCTCTCCCTTCCTCTCTGTAAAAAATGAATAAAATATATTAAAAAAAAATTGATGTTTCACCTGGCCTGTGTGGCTCGGTGGTTGAGCATTCACCCATGAACCAGGAGGTCACAGTTCAATTCTCTGTCAGGGAACAAGCCTGGGTTTTGGGCTTAATTCCCAGTAGGGGGCATGCGGGAGGCAGCCAATCAATCAGTGATCCTCCTATTATTGACTAGAGGCCCTGTGCACAAAAATTTGTGCACTGGGGGCGGGGGTCCCTCAGCCCAGCCTGTGCCCTCTCGCAGTCTGGGACCCCGCGGGGGATGACCCCCTGCTGGCTTAGGCCTGCTCCCCGGGGGTTGGGCCTAAGCTGGCAGTCAGACATCCCTCTGGCAGTCCGGCAGCCCTCGGGGATATCCCGTCCACTTGCCAGCAGGGAGCAGACCTAAGCTGCAGTCGGATATCCTTAGCGCTGCTGAGGAGGCAGGAGAGGCTCCCACCGCCACCACTGTACTGGCAGCCATCAGCCTGGTTTGTGGCTGAGCAGAGCTCCCCCATGTGGGAGCGCACTGACCAACAGAGGGCAGCTCCTGCATTGAGCGTCTGCCCCCTGGTCGTCAGTGTGTGTCATAGTGACCAGTCATTCCCAGTCTTTCTGCTGTTAGGGTCAGTTTGCATATTACCCTTTTACTATGTCTGACAGAGGCCTGGTGCCTGGGTGGGGGCCGGCTGGTTTGCCCTGAAGGGTGTCCCTGATCAGGGTGGGGGTCCCGCTTGGGTGCCTGGCCAGCCTGGGTGAGGGGCTAATGGCTGTTTTCAGGCTGGCTACACCCCCTTTAGGGGGGGGGTCCCCACTGGGGTGCCTGGCCAGTCTGGGTGAGAGGCTGAGGGCTGTTTTCAGGCTGGCTACACCCCCTTTAGGGGGGGGGTCCCCACTGGGGTGCCTGGCCAGTCTGGGTGAGAGGCTGAGGGCTGTTTTCAGGCTGGCTACACCCCCTTTAGGGGGGGGGTCCCCACTGGGGTGCCTGGCCAGTCTGGGTGAGAGGCTGAGGGCTGTTTTCAGGCTGGCCGGCAACTGAAGCTTCCAGCCTCTCCTTTTTTTCTTTTATTCTGGGATTTATTTACCTTCTATAATTGAAACTTTGTTGCCATCACTGGAGTTGAGAGCGGGCTCCTGCTCGTTCCAGCTCTGAGGCCATGGCCAGCTGAAAGCAGGTATCTGGGGTTTGTGTAGCTTCTATAATTGAAACTTCGTTGCTTTTGGAGCTCAGAACCGGCCCCGGCAGGTGGGGAACCTTGGCTTCCTCCATCACTGGAGCAAGCAAGCCTCCTGCTCGCTTCAGCTGTGTGGCTGCTGGCCACCAGCTTAGTTGGCAGTTAATTTGCATATCTCGCTGATTAGCCAATGGGAAGCATAGCAAAGGTACGGTCAGTTACCCTTTTTGTCTTTTATTAGATAGGATGTTTCTATCCCTCTCCCTTCCTCTCTCTGAAATCAATAAAAACATATATTTTTTAAAAATCGATGTCTTTGCCCTAGCCGGTTTGGCTCAGTGGAGAGAGCATCAGCCTGTGGACTGAAGGGTCCCAGGTTTGATTCCAGTTGCAGGCTTGATCCCCAGTAGGGGGTGTGCAGGAGGCAACTGATCAATGATTCTCATTGTTGATGTTTCTATCTCTCCTTCCTTCCTCTCTGAAATCAATAAAGAAAATTTTTTAAATTTATGTTTCTTTCTCCCCCTTCCTCTCTCTAAAATAAATTTTAAAGTTATTTTTAGGGGGAAAAATTGACAACCTTCAGCATACAACATATACAATACTACTAGCCTGTGTTTCCTCTTTTGTCAGGGACTCCTGAAACCTTTGAGCACACGTCAGTGTTTGAGAACCAGTGGTTCTAAGGAACTTAGAATCTGGTGATGACACACAGAACAGTTAGGATGAGGGTGGCCAGGTTGGAGGGTGGCCAGATTTAGGTATAAAGTAATAGGTAGGACCTTGGTTTGTAGAAATCAAACTAGAAAGAGAATTACAGAAATGTTAGACATCAGCAAACGGTAAGGATTTATGGGATATTCAGGGGAGAGATACAATTCATGGGATTTGAAGTTGTGAGACTTAGGAAAGAAGATGAACACCATCTGACAAATTTTAAAAGTTGGGGGAGAGAGCATTCCTCACATTTCAGGGTCTCGAAGCATTGGGGAAGGGAGAGGGCATCTCTTGTCCCTTCAAGAGCAATGCTTTATCTATTTTATATGTGGGGCTCTGGTTCCAAATCCATACATGAAAACAGCTGATGGTCTGGGGTCAGACAGAATCCTTGTTTGTTCTAAAATTGGGCAAGCTACACAACCTCTCTGAGCCCCTGGATGGTAATAGCTACTTGGTAAAGTTGCTAAAGATTATAAAAGTGGCTGTAAAAATTATAGATGCTATACAGAATACAGGAGAAATATAAGATGGTAGCTCTCATATCAAGAGTGGATTGGTGTAGGGAAAGATGTATAATCTAAACACACTTCTAGGTAGTAGAGGGGGAGAAGGCAGTCCTAATAAATGGTGACAGAAGATTTGACTTTGGGTGGTGAGCACATGGTACAATATACACATCTTGTAACATAGAAACTCACACCTGAAAGCTGTATGTTCATGTTGACCAATGTCACCCCAATAAAGTTAATTAAAAAAATAACACTGTTCTGGAAGAACTGTCTTTCCTACTCTAGGGCTTAGGAATGCCCCCTTTTGGTTCCACCTATTCTGGCTTTTTCAAGTCCTTGACTTCCCCAAACTATGTTCTTAGCTCTCAAGTCACCTCTGTGTTGACTTTGGTGTAAACTAATTTGGTTCTTCCTTTCCTCTGCCCCTGACAGCATCTGTGGGACCCTCCATTCTGTGGATCAGGTGAGACAAAGCAAGAGGGGGAGGAGGGGAGGGCTTAAGGGTGGGGTACTTGTATCTTGTCTCTAGGGCTAATGATGGTATTCATCTTCTTTCCTTAGTATCTCAACATCAAACTTACTGACATCAGCGTCACAGACCCTGAGAAATACCCTCACATGGTGAGTGAGGGATGGTGGAAAAGAGCAAGCACCTCTAAACACAGGAGGCCCCTGGGTCTAGAGGACATTTTTAAGAGTGTTTTCACGTTTGCCTACCTTTGTCTAGTTATCAGTGAAGAACTGCTTCATCCGGGGCTCAGTGGTCCGCTATGTGCAGTTGCCTGCAGATGAGGTGGACACGCAGCTACTACAGGATGCAGCGAGGAAGGAGGCCCTGCAGCAGAAACAGTGATGCAATGACTCCACCCCTTCCCTCTTCCATTGGTGATCCTTGACCTGGGGTCCCAGCCCAGGACCCCTCCTTCATACTTGAGATGTTGTGTTTATTGTTTTTCAATATTGAAGGCGCTTTTTTTTTAAAGGGGGCGGGGGGAGATGAGTAGATGAGAGGACTAATTAGTGGGGAGCAGCTATCCTCGGTGAGAAGGGAAGGTACTTGTCTGGGGAACTGCAGTGTTCCTGGTCCCCAGCACCTGCCTTTCCTCCTTCCCCAGAGATGCTGGGAGAATCTAGATCTCTCCAGGGCGGCCTGTGACTCACTTGGGGATGGACGGACTCTGTCCCGCATCGGGAATAAAGTGTTGGTGCACATTTCTGGTGTGTGTGTGTTTTGGAGAGGAGGCTGGAGGGGGGAAAGGGATGTTGAACTCCTCAAGCTCCTGCCCCCTTCATTACCCCGGCCCAGCATGACCTGCCACCGCGCTGGGTAAGCCCAGGCTCCCCGAACGCCACTCTCCCGCAGGCCTTCGCTCGGGCCGCCCCTGCACCGAGTGCCCGCTGCCCGCCCTTCGCCGTGACCGTTGTCAAATGAGACGCCGAGAAGCGGTCGATGCGGCCGATTCCCCCTCCGCCCAGGGCAAGCTGACGTCTGGCAGATTGATTCAAACTAGTGACCTGTCCGCAC